ACAAGATTTGTATTTTAAAGACAACCAGTTCGAAGGGAGCATCATTTGCTTTTTGGGTAAAATAATTTCTTAATATGAAGTTCGAATGGTATGACAATTAGAGATTAGACTGCAGAAACTGAAATCTACACACTATACTCATAGTCATGCAATGCTGATGTTGTTAACATTAATAATTTGAGAATAAAGTATAACAATAATAATAATTTGCACGGTTTGATGTGATATGAGCTAACCAATCTTTAGATTAAATCACCATTGGTAGCGCGATTTATTGTAATGCTTTTTTCCTCAGTTGGTCAGAACAAATGTGGCTGACTTGTTATTTACTTGTTCAGATGACAGTGAAAATTCTTATTTGGGTCATATATTCCAAGAGGTAGGCTATAATCTGTGATTGCGTAGTACAGTAAATATCCACACCGGTGCGGTGACTGACTGCTACACACACTTCTCCTCAAAACATTAGATTAATCCGCGCTGGAGCTGTGCCGGTGCACGACCCATGCAAGTAAGATAATTCCGCACACAGCTGTAATTGCAGGTTTTAAACAGAGATGGCGACAAAGAGGCAAAACTTGTGGACTGCAGCTTTAATAAAAAGTCTACTGGTGTTATACCTTCAGTCATTTTGAATTTGAATTACCTTGACTTGAGATTTTCTAAAATAATTTTCCTCTCGTATTATTTCTGAACACATAATATGTATAAGACAAGTTTGTACAATATGTAGTTGTAGTTTTTGCATCTTTTCTGCAAAGATATTTAACAAGTGATTTGTTTAACATTTACATCATGTTGACAACTTCATGTGTGCTGCACTTGGAATATAAATTTTTTTTTAACTAGAGGGTTAATAAAGAAAAAGTAACTTGAATCATGTTGTAGTTACATTTTCAAATTGACTAGTTAAAAATCATAAAAACTCGAGAATCGGTCAAACATTCTGGAAAGAAATCGAGATTAAAATTTTTTGCAAAATCGCCCAGCCCTAGTTCAAATCATATGGATCTGAAGAATGTTTACATCATTTCCAAGAAATAATAAATACATTTAATACTTGCATGTAAAAAGTAATGACATTTTTTCATTTAGTCACTGAACAGACATTAGTGAACACATAATGTGTAATCATTGTTAAATGTTATTAAAATATAAATATACATTTAAATATAAATGTAACTGTGTTTGGGGGAGATGCACCCCATTACATATTCATAAAATACTGTTATAAAAAAATCGAAATATTGACATTTTAATAGATTTACTGACCCTGACACACCATAAAGCCATAATGGGCTGTTATATTTTTATTTTCAGTTTTTTTTCATACCGATTTGCATACCAATTTTGTGATTTTTAAAAAAAAAATTTTTTTATAATAATTTGTCGTTTTAGTCCAATATACTTTTCTAAGAAATAATAATACAATATTATACCAAAAGAAAATTAAAAAAAAAAGATTTTTAATTCAGAAAACAACTTGCTCATTGTTTTTAAAAGCAAACATTAGTGTATTTTTAAATAAATTCACATTTGTGTCATATCATTGATCATTTTGTTTACTCCCTTAATCGTTGTGCTTGAAAGAAGAATAGATTTGTCACATTTATTTAGTCATTTATTAGACGCTTTTATCCAAAGCGACTTACAAATGAGGACAACAGAAGCAATCAATTGTAGTATTAAAACAACTAAAAACAGATCCAAAACTAAAAGCTGAAACTTTATAAATACTACCTATACACATTTTAAAAATAAAGAGATTAAATAAAAATGACAAATGCATACAACAAAATTGCAAACGAGACCAAACGCGATATCAGCACGTCTCCACACAGTAAACAAAAGGATGTCACATGGCTTATAGCCCTCTTGCTTTGCTTTCAGGATGTGGTTCTACAGCAGAAAGTTTCCCATCGTGTCAGCATCCTAGAGGAGGTGAACAACAGTGTAAAGCTCCCTAATGAAATGCTAAGTCATTTCAAAAGAGATGAGTCAACGCAAGAAGACAAAGAACTTCTAAAGGTAAGACACCTGAGTTTAGATGTGGTCACTGCTGCAATTAAATGTATCTGACCATGTGCAACTTGCTTTATGTTCATAGGATCTGTATAATGACTGTGACAAACTTAGAACTGCTGTCTTCAGACTTGCCACTGAGACAGATGATGATGACAGTGCCTTAGGTAATACACATTAGTAAGCAAAAACTCATTGAGGTCTTCAGCCGATAATATATTAGAAATAACTAAACTTCCACTCTTTTAGATGTGCTTTTCTATTTTTCTTTGGTGCAGGTGATATTTTGCACGCTAGTGATGATCTCTCACGAGTCATCAACTCCTATAAAAAGATTGTTGAAGGACAGACCATTATGATTGACTTGCCAGGATCAACCGCTTCAGAACGTATGTATAATGTACTAGAATTGTTACACTTCATTACTTAATGTATTAATTAAATTTTTTTGGTATCTGAATCATCCAAAGAGCTTGCATGATTTATCAAACTACTGCCCTGAAAATGCAATTCAGTGTGAGTTCATGTTTTTAATTTGTTTAGGCACCACTGACAGAACCTCTTCTGAAATTGATTAATTTGGCTGATTTGGACTCCGGGACCCCTTCGCCCCTTAAACATGTTTTGACATCACCTCAGCACTCTGATTCTCTACCAGCTGACCTCCTTACACTTACTCCTTTAGTTGGAGCTCAGCCTTCCTCTTCCAACACGTCCTATGGGTCAAGTTTCCAGATCAGTCCTCCACCAAGCCAGCTTCCCAGCAGTTTTTCTCTTCTAGATGACAAACTTGGTTCATTAGGTAAAAATGGCTTTATAGAACTTTTGCAGTGTATAATTGATATTTTATTAATGTAATACATTACCGTTCAGAAGTTTGGTGTCAGTAAGATTTCCATTTCAAATAAATGCTGTTCTCCAAAATTTTTGTTCATCAAAAATCCTGATAACACTTCATAATATAAAAATTAACACTTTATAATATAAAATTTAAATTCAGAAATTAAAAGGATGTTCATTGTTTTTTTTTTTCTGCTATACAGCAGAAAACTTTATTAGAATACAGCAGAAGGATCATGTGACACTGAAGACTGTATGTAATAGCTGCTGAAAATTGAGCTTTGGCATTACAGAAAAAAATACAATTTAGAATATGTTAAAATAGAAAACCGTATTTAGTTTACATTTATTTTAAGAGTTTTATATAAGAATGAGTTTAAATTCAATAAGTATCAAACAGTCACCCAGGCTTCATTTATTTAGTTTAATACAGTCTTTAAAATGTTTAAAATGAACACTTCAAATGACTACTTTTCAGACCTTACTAATCTGGACTCAAACTCAAGCAAGTCAGCAGAAAGGAATACAAAAGAAGCTCCAAGCAATCAGTGGATTTCTTCACAAGTAAGATTACAAGAGTGCTGGATATATAAGTTAAATATGCCTAGAAAATCTGTATCTTACGATATTTGATATGTACTTATACAATTATTATTATTATTATTATTTTGTGACAGACTTACCTACTCTGCAGCTCTGCTCCCCTACATCCTCTCATCTCAACAGCGCCACCTGCCTCAAGGCTAGGTAGTGAGAGGATTAAATAAAATAAAGTAGAAGTAGTATTGATAAAAAAAATAAAAAAAGCATTGTGGTTTTCAGAATCAGAAAGATTAATTACACTTTATGAGCAACCATTTTCAACTATGATAATGATAAGAGAGGTTTCTTGAGCATAGCAATCAGCATATTAAAATGATTTCTGAAGGATGTGACACTGAAGACTGGAATAATGGCTGGTGAAAATTCAGCTTTCTTATCACAGGAATAAATACATTTTGAAATATATTCTAGTGTGTTGGATTGATGTCAATGGTAAATGCAAGTTGTTCACAAATGAAGCAGTTTAATATTAGCATTCATACATGGAAGTAAAGGGGCACAGCTTGCACACTCTATTATTAGAGCCTTTAATTATGAATCAAAGCTGGTGGTGCAATGCCTCATTTCTTTTAAACACAACTAATTGTTTGTTTTTTTCTGTATGAAGCAGCCAGTCCAATTATTCAAGCTTGGGTAGCAGAGAACTTAGAGCTGGGGAAGAGAACATCCATCCTGCATTAACCACATTCAGTTTGCCCGCTGGAATAACACCAGTGCCTTCTGCTTTAACCTCTGCCAAACCTCAGAGCTTTGCGCCAGACAGCCCTCTCTTCAGATCCCTCTCTCCAACCTGGCCCACCAGTCAGTCACCCTCAGGCTCGGATATCTCCCTGACCAGTGTCTTTGTCCAACTGGAGGCCATTAAACCAAGTAAGGCCAATAAATAAATGTGGATGCTGTTGATTATTTTGTTCTGATATTAGAGAACTATATCAGGTATTCCAGATTAATTACTTGCCTGTTTGGCTTAGTACTGTGTGTTTTTTACTTTTATCTTTTCACAGGTAAGGAGGGTCCAGTGACAGCCTACGATAAGGATGGTGTTCACGTGTTGCACTTTGCTACTGACCACCCGCTTGGTCGCCCTGATGTTCTGGTGATTGTGGTGTCAATGCTGAACACAGCACCTCTGTTGGTGAGGAACATAGTGCTTCAGGCTGCTGTGCCAAAGGTGAGAGGGAACAGAAAACCTTCTGTTTTACTGAAGGTTTAACAATAATAGTTTTCCATATATCATTTAACCCTTGTACGGTGTTGGGGTCTGTGGGACCTGTTTTCATTTTTTATCAAAAAAAAATAAAATAAAAAAATGATACCCCTACACCCCCCCACTGGACCCGGGGCTAATAAAAGTGTGGAATCTGTATACCTTCACTCTGTCCTCCTCCTGTCTGGGCCTGCTATTTGTGTGTGTGTGTGTGTGTGTGTGAGTCTGTGAGAGTGTCAGTGTGAGTTTTATGTTTCTGCCCCTGCCATTCCCGCACAAGGTTGTGGCACTTTAATATGCTGTTTATATTACTTGTAATTGGGATGAAGTAAACATCTGTTGAGTATTTTAACATACAATTTTTGATTGTGTTGAATTAAAAACCCAAAAATGCAGCGGGTCCACCAGACCCACGAACACTGGCTGAATAACAAAAATATGAACACCACACAAGGGTTAAATTGATCCGAACAGTACACAGTTACTGTTTTGTAATAAACAAGCATTTTTACTCTATGGATTTTGCAGTTCTGAGTAGCTTTTGATTTCATGTTTGCAGTTCATTCATTTTTGACTTTTAGTTACCTCTCTACTTTGTGATTGACAGTCTATGAGAGTGAAGCTGCAGCCCCCTTCTGGAACAGAAATGACCCCTTTTAACCCCTTCATGCCCCCCAGTTCCATCACTCAGATCATGCTGCTGGCTAACCCACTGAAGGTGAAGAAAGAAACACTCGTTTACTTTGCTATGAAAATGCTATCAAAAAACAAATTTCACAAATGAGGACATCCTCAAAGTTGGTTTTGCTAGATTTAGCTTACTTCTGGGTGCAAATTTGTCCTCAAAAAGACACTTGTCTCAGCATTATCAAGACATTTATTAAAAAGAAGTAACTTAAAGGCACAATATGTAAGATTTTTTTATAAAAATATCCAAAAACCACTAGAACGGTGTTATATATTTTGCTGACTTAGTGTACTTACATTATCCCAAATATTTCGATTTTGAATACACGCTCTCTAGCGGTGAAAACTTACATATTGTACCTTTAATGCCACTGCATTTGTTTTATGTCTGTTCATACCTGTCAACATTTGGGTACCAAAATACGGGAAGGGGGGGCGGAGTCAAAAGTAACAATTTTTATATTATATTATATTATATTATTATTTTT